ATTATTGGTCGGGACAATTAGGTCGGTTTAAAATTTTGGTAGGAACATGTCCCTATGGTCCCTATGCAAACCTACGCCCATGATACACACCGTTATATTTTTTGCAGTTACATATAAATATAACACAAATTATGTAAACACATATCTTCCTCTCTCTTAGAAAATAAATATTTCCATAGTGCATCGCAATCCCTTTGATCATATATTGGATCCAACTGGTAGCGTCCTACTTACTGTGTCATAAATGGCACTTTAGACTACAAAACCAGATACTCATCAGTGACCATCTACCATTTTTTAATAGTATGTGATAACAAAAAGCACTGATCTACATAAAAGCAAAACTATATACAGTGAGAGCAGAGGTGCCAATACAGTAATAGCATTAAAAAAATTATATAATACTAAACACAAGAAAAAAAAATCAAAAAACTAGATCCATTTTAGAATCAGATTACAAAATCATAGCAAAAAGAAAAATACAAATTTTCTTCCCCATAAATGATGTCTGCCCAGACTTTCAGATTGCAGTATGAATACGCCAGTGTATGAATTGTGCTTTATAAATATATTTACTTTCCAGTCTGTATTTTTATGGGTTTGACAATACTGTAATCCCCACTCGATCCAAATATAAAAAAAATGAATGTGAAGACACAGAAATAGTACATAAGGGTTAGACCTAAAGAATTACATTAATGTTCCAGTTTAAAAAAAAATCATTTCATCATCATTTCTATCTGTTACATGTTCCATTTATTTTAGCGCAATGGAGAGCAACTTTGTGAATTGTGAGCCACACACAAAACTATGTTTGCTTATGCTGGTGAAGGTTCTCAGTCATCCAGGTCATGGTAATTCCAAAAAAAGGTTAAAAAGTAAAAACTGGACTTTGGCTTACTATCCCGGAAGCTTTCTCAATTCAAAGAGTCTGGAGCAGTGTGGAGTATCAGGCTTTATACTACTGCCAAACAAAAGCTAACAAAGCCATTAAGGCTTTTGTTTGGCAGTAGTATAAAGCCTGATACTCCACACTGCTCCAGACTCTTTGAATTGAGAAAGCTTCCGGGATAGTAAGCGAAACGTCTTCAACCTTCGGAAACAAGTCCAGTTGTTTTTACTTTTTAACCTTTTTTTGGAATTACTTTTGCTTATTTTCCATTGTAATTTAAATAACATTCCATTTATTTCTAACAATCATTTAAAATTAAATCTAACACACAGGGCAGAATACAGA